CCCTCAGCCTTTCCTCATAAGACCTTCCCTCCATACCAGGCAACATCCTGGTAAATCTCCTCTGCACCCTTTCCAATGCTTCCACATCCTTCCTATAATGCGGTGACCAGAACTGTACGCAATACTCCAAGTGCGGCCGCAGCAGAGTTTTGTACAGCTGCAACATGACCTCATGGCTCCGAAACTCAATCCCTCTACCAATAAAACCTAACACACCGTACGCCTTCTTAACAACGCTATCAACGTGGGTGGCAACTTTCAGTGATCTATGCACATGGACACCGAGATCTCTCTGCTCATCCACACTACCAAGAATCTTACCATTAGCCCAGTACTCTGTATTCCTGTTACTCCTTCCAAAGTGAATCACCTCACACTTCTCCGCATTAAACTCCATTTGCCACCTCTCAGCCCAGCTCTGCAGCTTCTCTATGTCCCTCTGTAACCTGCAACGTCCTTCCGCACTATCCACAACTCCACCGACTTTGGTGTCATCCGCAAATTTCCTAACCCATCCTTCTATGCCCTCATCCAGGTCATTTATAAAAATGACAAACAGCAGTGGTCCCAAAACAGATCCTTGAGGTACACCACTAGTAACTGAACTCCAGGATGAACATTTCCCATCAACCACCACCCTCTGTCTTCTTACAGCTAGCCAATTTCTGATCCAAACCACTAAATCACCCTCAATCCCATGCCTCCGTATTTTCTGCAATAGCCTACCATGGGGAACCTTATCAAACGCAAATAGGTCAAATGAATGAGAATGACGAGCTCCTTGATCTCCCGCTGATCTCCCTGCTTTTTTAAAAATGTTTTCTCACTGTTAGTTCTTGGGATATGTACTATTTATTGTGCATCTCTTATCCTTGAGCTGCTGCAGTTTGTGGATGTATTTATTTCCAGAGTACTGTTAGATGGAAGTTTCCAGTGTTTTGTCTCCATGCCAGTGAAGTACAGTGACAAACATACAAAGTCAGGATGATTGTGACAGAAACTTGCCGACAGTGGTTTTCCCTTGTGCCTGCAAGCTTTGTCCTTTTAGATGGTACAGGTTGCAGTTTTGGCAGGTGATGTTGAAGGAGCCTTGCCAAGTGACTATAGTGCATCTTGTAGATGGTATTCACTGCAACCACAGTGTACTATGATTGAGGAATGTGAGCATTTAGTCTACAGGTTATACAAATCAAGTCAACTGCTTTGACCTGGGTGCTATCAGGTTTTTTGAGTTTTGTTGTTGCAGCCCACCAAATAGAGAATATCCCAGCACACTCCTGTGCTTTGTGGGTGAGACTTTGGGGGGTGTGATATGCGACTTGCTATGGAAGAGTCAAAATACTTCACTCTCTTCTGATTGTAGGAAATTGATTCAATTTGGTCTGATGAAACATTTAATTCGGCGACTACACAAGTATCCGGTCAAGATCAACCGAGACGAGAGGAGCCGGCCACCTCGTCTGTACACTGGTTCGCACAGCTATGATGAGATCTGCTGCAAAACAGGTAAACCATCTCAACAGCGCATTTACTAGATCAATGCAGCCGAGGGGATAGAGCGGTGAAAGGGAATTAGATGTTTTCACGACTGAGAGGTGTCTTCACACTCCAGATTTTGCAATAAGAGCCCTGTGTGATTTTAACTTGAGTAGTTTTTGGATATGGGTCTATAGCTTAAAACAGCTTCTACTAAACACCACAATTGGGATTCTTGATTAGAGGCTGCAGGTTGCGTGGGTCTAGAAAAGGAATGATTGATGTGAAGCATTTCACCAGAGAAATGTAGGGGAAGCTTTACTCTTTATCTAATCCATGCTTTCAAGTAGCAGGAGATCTCCCATAGCTGCTGCTCCTCTTCAAAACAGTGTCATTGGATCTGTCCCAAGAGAGTGGACAGAGCAATGGTTTAGCAGCTCATCTATGAGTTGGCACCTCCAGCGCTGTATTATCAGTCTAAAGGTTGTGATCCCACAACCAAAGTGAGAATGCTCCAACTAAACTGTAGCTAACACATCCTTACTCTGTATCCGATTGTATTTCAGCTGAGACTAGCTACTTGGAAGTGGGAATTATAACAAACTTTTCTTCTCTCTGTTTCTTTCAGGAATTAGCTACAAAGAATTGGACGAGAGGCTGGAGAATGACTCAAATATCATTGTGTGCTGGAAGTGAGAGTACAACAAGTGTCAGGACAACTGCCGCATGTCGCGCTGGCTTAAAGTTGACCAGGAGTTTCCAAGCTGAAGACCTGTTTTGCGAGGAGTGTGAGAAAGTTCCAACTTGGGTAGTGTAAGCTCTGCTGACTTTCAGTACTGATAAATTGTTCTGACTCTCCTGGATTAATTTAAAAATAGGTGAAGAATGTGTGACAGCATGTCTCCTGAAATAGATTGTGATCTGTAACTTAAGAGATTTTGTATTTAAATTATATTGATACGATCCTTACCCAAATCTTCCTCCTGTGTGTATGTGCCTTATCACGAGTATCAAGGAGAGAGCATGACCCCAGTTGATTGATTCAAATCCTCCCTTCTCCTCCATTTGTTTAAAATGCATTCTTTGGTGAAACATTCCTTAGCTAGCCTGTTATGTATGGTATATAATACCAAATTCTACGTAACCTGTGCTAACCACGTTCAGACCCCAGTCTGTACTGCTTTAGCCAATCTCAGCTGGGACGGTGGTGGTGGTGCTTTTGAGTGGTCTTGGAGCCCCAGGGCTTGTTGGAATCCTGACTCCTGAAGTGTGTGGTCCATCCATGGACACTTCTGTTAAGATGTGTGCGTGTGCTGATGATCTCAAATCATTGTGATGACTTTGCAGTTGAACTTCTTGCCAACATTGAAAAATAATCCTCTTGAATGTGTTACTGCTGAGCTCTCAGTACATTTGAACCAGTGCTCTGTACAGATCAGTGCCTTCATGAGAATAGCAACGTATAGAATCTGTACAGATTGTTACGACTAGTTTTGGATAAATAGAATTATTTAATACATTAAAATCTTTTGTTCTGAAGGATACATAAAATTATGGTGTTTTAACATCTCCATTGCAAACTGATTTCAAACTTAATTAATGAGATCAAATTACATGTAACTTTTAGAAGTAATTCTGTTAAACTCAATTGTAATTTAAGAAATGGTAATCATATATCGCTTCGTGAAGTGACACGTTTACAGCACAAAAATACTGCACATTAATCTGTGACATTTCAAAATGCAACTGGATCTCTGCCTGTAAAAGCTTTAAAAGCTTTCCAAAAAGGCATTACTTTAGCCAAACATCACTTACTCCTCAGATCATGCCCCACCTCTCTTCAACTCCTCCCCCCACTCCCAAAAGGACCAGGTCCTTTTACATTTGTGATTTGCCTTTGGAAGAGTTTCGTCTTAAAAGTTGCAGTTTCAATGCACGTTGTCACTGATTAGCTGAAGAGGTAATTGAGAAATTGCGACTGAAGAACCCACACAGGCTATTTCTTCAAATTGTGGTCACATCACCCTGGCGGTGCGTGAAGTGGAATTCTGAAGAAGTAAATTTTTGTTGGAATAGTCTGGGCAAGCCTGTGATAGAGAAAAGTGAAATGTAACCACTTGGGGCACATGTACAAGGAAGGAAGCAAACTGGGCAGACATCTTAAATCATATACATGGCTTGTGGAGGCTTCCTTGTGGTATGCTGCAGATGTTTTAGTGGAATTCACCATTTTAGAATTATTCTTTGCATCCTACCTGATTGCGAGCTGTATTTCAAACACCATATCCCTTTGGTTATAAATGCTGGCTGCTATAACCTTGGTAACATTAAGGCAAGATTGTGGAAAACCGATAAAGTCACTGGATTAGAAATACATACATAAGCCCAGGTTAATGGTCTGGGAACACAGGTTCACAGTACATCACAATAGCTGATGGAATTTTCAATTCAGTTAACAAATCTTCAATTGAAAGCTAGTGTCGGTGGAACTCATTGATTTTGTAAAAGCCCTTCTGCCATCCCTGTCCAATCTGGACTACATGTGACTTAAGTCACAGAAATGACTCTTAACTGTTCTTAGAAATGGCCTATTAAGCCACTCAGTTCAAAGGCAATTGGGTATGGACAATAACGCCTACATCCCATCAAAGAATAAAAAGGAAAAAAAATTGCTTGGTCTATCCCCACCTCTTCCATATTTCACTGAAGCCATTGTCCATATGTTTATCAAATATTTCAATGCTTAGCTGGCCAGCCTCCTATACACTTCAACCCGTCTGCTTCATCAAACAGAGCTGTCCATATCCTGTCTAATCTGGTCATTACCTCTATCTTTGCTAACTTAAATATTGACTGTCTGGCTCCCAGTGACTTTAGTAATTCATCATTACAGGAGGAGTGTAATTAGCTGAGTTGTTCTTTCAGAGAGCTAATGCTCATATTGATATGATGGGCCAAATGGCTTGCTCCTGTACCATGTAGCTATTTTATGATTTTTTTCATGCATCATTGGCAGGTAGTCTTTCAGACACGTGGGGCACACTCTGTGGAGTTCCCTCCTTAAACCCCTCTGCCTGTCTTCCTTTAACAACCTGACAAGCCCACCTCCTGAACTCCTGATGTCTCCTTTTTCTGGGAGTTTTTCCCTTGTGCTTTTGTGAAGTGTCTCAAGATACTTTTCTATGTCAAAGATGCCATTGACATAAATGCACATTGATAAATTCATAGGTTTGCTTTTATTTACAACTTTTATTTACCCAATTGCCTTTGAACTGAGTGGCTTGATAGGCCATTTCTAAGAACAGTTGAGTCATTTCTGTGACTTAAGTCAGATGTAGTTCAGATTCAAGTTTGAAGAAAACAACCATGGATTTGTCCATTTCTCATCAAAAGTTATGGGGCTGATATGGTGTTGGAGAAAGACATGCTCACTGGACCCAGTACTGCCTTTTTTGACCCAGGTCGTCTTCATCGTCAGGTCGTCTTCATCGTCAGGACGCAATATGTCCAAGTGGCCATCTGCAAACGTCATATCAATGTTTTCTCATGCAAAAACTGCACTCTATTTCTGAGGTATATTTGCAAAAATACTGGGCTCTGAGTGGTGTCTGTATCCACCTTGATCATTCTTTGCTTGAGAGACTATTTGGTGACTACTTAGCCAAGGGGTGTATTACAGTAGTACCAGAACTTGAAGTCCCTGAACTTTCCTGCAAAGAGTTTCGAGTTAATGATTGGAGGCGAGGCCCCTCCCTGATTCTTGTTAATTAAGATCTACTTCATCCAGGCTACTGGAGGGTGCTGGAGAATGAACTTTGAAGGTCCACATGTCTGTTTTGTTTTTCTTCCTGTTCTGGACTGCATTCAACACTGGCCAGTTGTTTCCTTGTGCCTATGCTGTTCCTAGTGAGTGCTCATCAGGTCCATTCTAACATGGTCTCAAGACCACAGAATGCAGCAGAGGCTCTTAGGTAATCTGGCTGTCAGAAACCAAGAGAAATTAACTCAGATCTTTGTAAATGTGCATTACACCAGCTCGCAAATTCTTTCACCCCAAACCCCAAAATGTAAAATGAAAACTTACTGTAGATTCCTATACTTAATTTTTTTCCAGAAGATTTGGTAACTCTTTCCATTCTCTTTTCTAAAAACCAAACTTGGTGTTTGAAAATCATTGCTTCCTGATTAGCCTGGACTTTTCTCCTATCTCTTTTCAGTCTTGGTGTTTGCTGCTCCTCTGTACCTTGTCCCTTTTTTCAAATCCCTGATAATGGAAAGTAATTTATTTGAGAGGGTAAGATGGCTTGTATATATTTGATGACATTAAGTATGAAAGAAAGCACCTTCTCCCCCCTCCCCCCAATCCCAGTTCTTAAGTTATTTACTCCTAAGCATTTTAAGAGAAATGTTGAAGTTATCAATGGCAATGACTCCTGGCCTGTGCTGGTCCCACCGCATCAATGATATTCATTCTGCTGGTTGTGGTTGCCCACCAGGCAGCTGTGCCCCTGGACATGTTCTCATTTGGTCCCAAGTGTTAGTGACATCCAGCTTTTCGGGTCTCAGCACATCTGGACAATGCATACTGCACTGGTGTCATCTGTCACTGACACTTCAGTCTGTCTGTGCTAGTCTCAATGCTGCAGGTCAGTGATGTAGATTCCATCTGGCAAGCAGCTCCCTCTCAGCTGGCTCCTCGCGTCAGTGGCAATCACTTTGCTGGTTTAGTATGCCAATAATGGGGAGTTTTCTGGCCCTGCCTCAACTCTGAGCTATTTTGTCTGGAAATCTGAAATGCTAATGTTTTAAATATATATATTTTACATATATGTGGCTTTTTCCAAGTATTGATCCAAGTATCTATATTATGTTGATACATATGTGTACATGTACTATTGTTTAAAATCCTTTATGTAATATTTCCATTCCTGAAAAAATTAAAATGGTACAACAAAGTTGGCTATTGAACAGATTAATTGAGAATCTGTAGCAAGGTGTTCTTGTTGACAGGAAATGGAACCTCATTATTTATTTACTACTAGTGTTTCATTGCAGTTTGATAACCTGCTGTGGTTATGCGTTCCCAAAGACATGGATCCCTCTGCACTCTGGTTTTCAGTAGAATCTGTATGAAGGCTGAGACTCCAAATGAAAGAGCTGCAGATGCTGAGTTTCAAGGAGTTGGAGACTTTAGTAACTGTCACAGGATAACAATGGTTAATATGATGCTGTACGAGTGTTACCAATCCAGAATCACCAGTGAAAGTGATGCGAACAGGGCAATGATTGGAATTTAGCATAACTGAGGGAAATGTGAGAGAAGCATTGGTACAAAACAATGGGATCTACAAAGATTAGAAATACAGTTTCTTAATAAGTAGAGAAATTGGGAGTGCATGGTGAACATTAGTTGCCTAACAGTGAGTATGTGAACATATCTACAGGAAGTTGGATTCCAAACGGTAACTCCACACCATAGCCATAATTGGAGACTGTCCAACCTTTCCCTCGTGAGCTTCACAATGACATCAGTGTATTGACGTATGATCAATGGTATCATTCTGACCTATTGTATATTTATTTTCACAGAAGAATATTGAGATAAATCATGATTCACACCTTCAGAATAAATGAAATTGATGTCATATTTTCTTTTTGATTTTTAATTTTGCATTCTGAGAATAAAGGACAAAGATTCTACACTGTCAAGGGAGGCCTACACTGTCAGGTGTGGATTTAAAAGATCCCATTGCATTGTCTGAATGAAACCAGGGGAGTTTTTTTTTGTTGGTGTTCTGGCCACTTTATTTTCTCAGCCAACATTACTAAAACACATAATCTGGGATCTTGCTGTGCACAGTTTGGGTTTCCCTGATTTATTGACAGTACTTTATTATTATGAAGTGCTTCAGAATGCCTTGTGGTCTTGAAGGGTACAATAGCAATTCAAATCCTTAAGGAGTTCAGCATTTATCACATACACCTGCCTGTTCCACGATGGGTAATCTTTATTTTCAGGCTCTTGCTGAGACTGAAAGGGTTAACGGAGTTTCCTTAGGAAGGGAACATCAGGCACCCCCCATCCCCAAATCATAAACGTCTGGTCTCATCACTTACCATAAACTAAAAGCCGTTAATACATTCAGATTGTGTTTGTGTGAGCTGAATGACAGTCAGACGCAGGAGAAAACAATGCATCAGCTGGCAGTTTTCGATTCCCTGTCAGCCCCTGAATACAAAGTATTGATGGCCATGGAAGAGATCTACATACATCAAACAGCAGGAGAGCAGCTTCTCATTAGCTTCCTGCTTGATTTACTGGCGTTGTATAAATTAATTCCTTAAAAGCTGCTGCGTGCACAGGTTACGGCAGTATCAACATAATTCTGTTTTATTGGGTACAGTAACAATAAATCTGTTTGTAATGTGCCCTTCTCGTACACACACTGGCTCAGCATCAGGCTGAGTGACGATATACTAGTGAAGCATTCTCTGGTTGGAAAAGTAGCTCCTTTTAAAATTTTATTAGTCTTACCTGGATTTTGAATAAAGGCACCTAAGGCCATGGAGGATCCCTCTGTGGATCACGGGCCATGAAGGACCCTGAAGGGTCACATGGTTGACAATGGACCATGAGGAACCCTTGTGCTGGTCACAAGCAGGCTCACGGGCCTTGAAGGAGCCCTTTGTGAACAACAGGCCATGTGTCAACATGCCTTTTGTAGATGGTGCACACTGCTGCCACTATATGTTGGTGTTGGTGGATGTGGCGTCAGTCAAGCAGCTGCTTCGGCCTGGATGATGTGAAGCTTTATGCATGTTGTTTCGGCTGCACCCGTCCAGGCAAGTAGGGAATATTCCATCAGACACCTGACTTGTGCCTTGTAGATAGTGCACAAGCTTCAGAGAAACAGATGAGATAGAATTCACTGTTTGTGACTTGCTGCTGTACCACTATCAATGCTACAAGAATAGTTCTGTGTTAAGTGGGATGATTTAGAACCAGTGCCAAAGGTAGGAGGGTGCCCCAATGTAAGGTTGGGACTTATGCACTGACATGCTGTTCCTGCAATCACCAGAAAACATTCAGCTCTACATCAGTTCTACCTTTCTTGGTCTCTGCACTGGTTCTGATTTCCTTCTGTCTGACAGGCTGTATTGACTGAGCAGAAATTTCCTATACTTAAATAAAAAGCTAGAAGCTAGCCGCTAACATAAAATGTAGTGTCCTATTTCATTCAGCTGAGCTGTAGCTTGAAGCTTTCAGTTATCAAGACCCCTTCTTTCCACAATCACAGCAGTGGACATGTCCACTTCTGCTTCAAGCTTATTTACCTTGATTTAAAACTTCTCATCCCCATTTCCAATTCCTTCTAATGGCTACCAACCCACTTTAATAATCTTAGCCTACCCTACAGTCTGGTTCCTTGCACACTCCTATCATTAGCAGCTGTGCCTTTGACCACCTGGTCCTAAGCTGTGGAATTCCCTCCCCACATAAATGTTGTTTGATATAATTGTCCTGTGAAACATTCTTGGACATTTTACCATTGTAAAATGATGTCTAGGATCTAAATTGATAATGTCTCCTGGCCAAAATTAAACCCTCAGCACAAGGATGATTTTCCAGTCATTGCCACATTTCTCTTGTGGTACATTATTGTGCACCTTGGCTGCCATGATTCCTACATTAGAACAATGACCACATTTCTGAAGTACTTCATCAGTTGTAAGAAAGGACATCCAAGCGGAGTTCGTGAAAAGTTCTTTCATCTGTAGCGGCCATCGTGTAGCAATAAGACTTAGCACCTCTCCCTAAACCTATAGTGCTGGGGGCAGTCACTGCACTATTATTGATGCTTTTGGATGAGGCAAGCTGAAGAATACCAAGAACAGAACACGTGGTGTTTCTAGCCCAGGTCCACAAGGACTAGCATGTTTTACTAACAGAGGCACAAAGGAGCCTCTCTTTTCCTGCAGCCATTAATTATAAGTTATTGCTAGAACCATGAAATATAAATCTACTTGTGACAATGACAGCCTCATGATTAAATACAAGTGAGTTACTGAGTTTGGCCTCAAAGCTGGACTACCAACTCCTGTCTCTGCATTCTATACTTAAAAAGGAAATCACAGAACAACCAAAGCATAGCTTCCCCACGTTGATCCAAAGGGACTGGTATCAGGAAAGACAGAGACACACACACACGATGACAAGCTTGGAAAAGGTCACAATTACACAGAACAGGCTGGGTTGCATCCCGTCCCCAGCTTTCACTCAGCACCTGTGCGGGCTGACCTGATCTTCACTGCAGTGTACAACTGACCTCAACCTAGGGAAAAAAAAAAAGAGGTAGGGAGTTTCTGCGCTGCTCTGAATCCTGATAGGTTAATGTACCAGGTTGAAAGGCCAAAAGGAGGATGGCATGGGGTTTAATTTTCCTGGTTTTAAGATGTATCTCTGGAGATTCTGCTCAACTCCCACTGAAAATGCAAGAGAAAACCAGGAGTTAAACCCCCAAAATTTCAGAACGCACCCTGCCCCATTTCAGGAACTAAATTTGTCTCATTGCAGTCAGGGGACTAACTGACAGGAAGTATGGGATCACAGCTGGAACCATAACTGGAGGATTTGATTTGCACACTCTAATCTTCATTCTTTCTCTGCTAAATTTATCTTTAAAGCTCTGTGTGCACCGTCTATGAGGTTAAATTAACCAGTGCCAAATAAAGGCAGTTTACAGCCTCACCCCTTACCATCAGCTTTCAGATGATAAGAAAAAAAACAATAGAAAGGTTCTGAAGGGGGGTACTGGACCCAAAACATTAACTCTGCTGTTTCTCTCAGATGCTGCCAAACCTGCTGAGTTTTTACAGCAATTTGAGTTTATGTTTCCAGCTTTCAGATGATGTTGGATTCTCCATTTAATTTGCTTGATTGACAGCTATTAAAGTTTTACTTCATTTCCTGACAGTCTGAATCATGCATCAGATGTTTATTTGGGCAGAAACTGGTTTCCACATTCCACACTATCTGAAAACATGAAATCATTACAAGGCTGGTCCAGCTGACTGAAGCATAGTTGCTGCACATGTCCTTTCCAATACAAGCACCATCACTCATTTTGAAACTAAATTACACTGTTCCCCCTTTCAGCATGTTTTAAAATGGTGCCAAGATGGCACGTTACCCAAGATTCTTCATACATTGGTCATTTTCTTCCCCAGTGCTCGGACTGGGTGTATCACTGACTAGGACAGTATTTATTGCCCATCTCTCAAATGTTCTCCATTGGTGGTGATGACTGCCTTCTTGAATCACTGAAGTTGCACTTGGTTTAGGGCATAACCCCACAGTGCCACGAGGAGTTCCAGAATTTTGGCTCAGTGACAATGAAAACATTTGCCTAGTGCCAAGGCAGGATTGCTTGCGACTTGGAAAGGGACTTGCAGCTTGCGGTGTGTTTGCACAGAACTGTTGCCCTTGTCCTGTGATGTGTTCGATATGATTGGTTTGGCAAACTGATACAATGTATCTTGCAGATGGTACATATTGCTATCACAGGCATTCTACTATAAGAGGAATCATAGCTATGAATCCATTCACATGTCCTTATCAGCAAATATCACTGGATCAGTAAATCAAAAAGCAGGAACAACGGGCCAACTTTCTCAACATACCAAACGTATTTAATACTGCTGGGCAGTTCTCTGACCACCAGCCCAAAATTTTGTGATGCATTGCTCAACAACATCCCATAAACAAGGTGGAACCTCCATTTGAAAAGGAACCTTAAAAAAAAATTAGACCAAGAAAAGGTCACACAAGAGAACTGCTGTAATGTGCCAAAAAACTTTTATTAATATTTTATAAAAGGAATTTGTGTCGCATAAAAAACTTTTATTTAACGAAACATAACAGGAAATATAAAAGAAACAACTGCAAAGGAAAATG